TTCATATGGGGAAAAGTGAAACAGGCAAAAGAAAACAAAAATAACGTATTTAATATGAACGAGAATCAATGAGAGATAAAAGAACGAACCTATCAGTCAATGTTCTTTTTTTAAAAATTACGATGAGGAGAAACAGTGAGTCATAGCAACATGAGCTAGGGCTATGCAGAAAAACTGGATTTTAAAGAATCCCTTAATAAATTGATGTTGAAGAGCATTTCATTTCATTTAAAGAGGCGAGTGGGAGGGATTTATAAGTTGGCTTGGCCAGAAGATGAAGGAGGATTGCCTTGGAGATGTGACTGTAGAATTGTGCGAATAACTCCTCAGTGCACCGACCTGCGACCCTAATTAATCCTTGCTGAGAATTCGTCCGCCGTGAGACACACATCGTCAGATCAAGACACTCTTCTTCGTGTTTTGGCTAATTATCCTAAAACATTTTGTCCTGCTCTGATGATATCCGCCACATGACGGGCGAAAGCTTAACAGGAATTAATCGGGGTTGCAAAGAGGTGGGCCAAGGACTTATTCGCACAATATACAGTCGCAGCATCAAGGCAATCTCTCTTAGGCCTCCGGTATGATCAATTTATAAAATTCTTTCTACTCGCCTATTCAAACAAAGTGAAAATACTCTAATTTATGTCCTAGGCTTCAGTGTTGTTTTTGGGCCTCAAAAGTCCTGGGATTCTAATATCTAAAGCTCATAACGCGAATTTGAACGGATATTTAGCTCATAGAAACCTGGTGTGATTTGCAATATATATATATATATATCACGATTTGTACGGTTAATTCAATTATAGCCTATATAAGCTGACAGATTTATAGTATAACCAAAAATATGGAAAGACCAGAGGCTTAAAATAGGCCTCACTGTATCACATATCTCCAGAATATCCTCATTAAAAATATTTCGCCACTAATCGAATTAGGCAATTCGCAACGATAAATTTATCTATGTTACTCAGCTCCAAATTTCCTTTTGCCTGCAAACTAGAAACATTTTTCGAAGGCCTTAGAAAAAAAGCCAAGTAAAAAGTGAATCACGAAGAACGTTTACCATCTGGGAGTCTTCTGATACAACCGTATCAACTGCCTTCGAATCTGTTTCTCTTTCTAGATTCGATAAGGAAATGAACCCATCAGTTTGATCACTAGTTTGATTTATTGTCCTGTTTTTTAATCCAGGAACCGCGGTAATAGAATTTTGCATAAGGCTATCACTGAATAAGCTGTCACCGAATAAAGCAATCGAAAGCATAGAAGGATCGGTTGGATGTTGAGAAAGGGGTGAAGGGCATGGCTGAGGAGATATAGTGGAAACGGCACCAAGGTCTTGTGAAATATTAAGCCCAACACAGAGATCAGTGTCAACTTCAGTAAATAAGGCCGAGTCAACTCTTTGCGGCTTAAGAGGGGCGGAATAAGGTGCAGGAGCAGAAAGATGGCGGGGATTGTCCAGAGGGATATCCACAAATGCATGACATGGCGCCAAAGTTCCTGCTGAAAGTAGAGTTTCTTGAGATAAAGCTATGATGGGCCTTTCTTGACGAGAATCAAATCGTTCCAGGGGAGATCGAATAGCCCTATCTTCCTCTGGCGACTGGAGCTCCTGTGGCAAAGGTGTATCACTGGAACTATTTATTACAGGACCTAAATAAAAATAAAAGTAGAAAAATGAAAGCAGGAATTAATTTTTATATTTCTTTAAAAAAAGCCATGAATGACAGAAATTAAATGCTACTACACTACATTAGTACTAAGGTACATAGACACATTGAGGTTTATGAGTATATTAAAAGAAAGTAGAATATAAAATTTTATTTAAAAAAAATAAAAGCCTGAGGATTAGTTAAGTAGACATTTCGGGAAGAACGATAAAATCTGGTTTAAAATGATGTAAACCATAAAACTATTAGGAATTAAAAGATAGGTTGGATTTTTGAACAAAAATTTGGATAAATAACCACCATGATGCTTAAAATGGATTTAAAGAATTGCCTTGATCTTAAAAAATAATCGAAGAAATCTCTGAAGAA